GGTAAAATACATTCTAGAAAGTTTTTACAGTGATCTTCTGGACACCAGTTTGGGATTATATAATGCATTTTTTTGTTGTTGAAAGGAGTTGGAATAATATAGTTCAACATGGTTGTAAATGGATGGAAAATGTGGTCAGTAGTCCTCTGAAATACTGAGGCATTGGCATGTGCAATTGCAACTACAGTGTGAAAATGTCAGAAGAAATATCTTTTATGTCTTTACACCACTGACCTAAACTATCAGCCAAGATGCTGAAACTGGGACTCAATGGATCAGGAGATATTTTAAATCAATATTCAACCAACATTGAAAATATGTTAACTGTAGTGTCAGTTTATGTTTCATATTTAGACGTGGAGTATGCTGTGTTCCTCTGCTGCTTTAAAGTCCCAAATGCTGAGCAAACCAAATATTTAATTCTGCATTTTTTTGGGTCTTCTAGTTTTCCATTTAGCTTCTGTTGTCTTTATATAATTTGTCTGGCATTTGACATCATTAAAGAATCTTTGTCCACAGGAATACTGCTCACTATTTCCTCTGCAGCAATTTCTATAATATCCAAACCAGCCTGGGACATGTACCGGATTACATCCATATCAAACCACTCCACCCAGAAGCTTGACTTAGCTGTTTTTTTTGTGTGTGTGTATGTTTTTTAGATAATTTTTGCAGACACATAGAAATAATTTTGGTTAAAAAAGATATAGTGAAAGAAATAAGGATAAATACAAATACAGAAAAGCTATAGCACAGCCAAGCTGTTGTCTAACTGAATCCACATCTTTATGTTTTCTTATACCATAATAGATGACTACTACAGGTCTCAAGAGTGTATTTGATGATTTATATCCATACATACCGTTTCTGGCCAGGATAGTTGTAATGTACTGCTGGCTGAAGGTGCTAACTGTCAGCAGCATGGCTGGCCTCTGCGATGTAACAAAGCTGAAGGCCACGTCCTCCCTGGCCCTGCTCTCTGTAAATGCACTGGAGGCTTGCGAGCTCCTGTTCTGCATCACTGAGAAAGGCTCCTGGAAGGTGTAGGTCACTGAGGACTCTCTGTCAAAGGACACCGACACCTCTGCAGGGACACACAGGGAAAGAAATGGTTGCTTTTATATGAGAAAACCTCAGAATCCACATTTTCTCAGCACAAAGGTAAGAAGTGCAGGTTCATGCGAAACACATCAGGGCATTTAAATAGCCAGAATGGATTTATCAAGAAACAAAAAAAGAATGTGCATCTTCAAAGACATGGTTCTATGAAAACAGCTGAAATGAATGAATGCCAGTTCCCTAACTTCTTAAAACAACCAACATTAGTGTCCATCTTGCAAAGCCTGGTTGCATCAAAACAATCTAGCTTATTTTATGTTTTATCACCTGGGGCAATTTTAGGAGACAGATCTCTCTGGGGCCACAGAAGCCTTCACATAGCATCTTTTTCCCTCATCCAGAGCTACTTTCTGAGACCTACAAACAACTTTGATGTATAAAATTGGCACAGTTCTTAAGCCTATCCTCCAAGACAAGCATGGCACGTTAAAACAAGCCTTGAAAGTAGAGCATGGAGGATCAGATCAGCCTTCCTGGTTGTTGATGTTATATAACCACTGTGATGGAGGGCTGTGAAATATGGGAAATGTAAAGTTTTTCCAAAACTTTATTCCTACACGCTTCTACACAGAAGAAATAAAAAAAGAAATTCTTCAGGCATATGATATGAGGACTTCACAACAGAGTCATGTGCTGTGCTGCAGTGATCAGAACCGGTACTGCTTTGAGATGGCTGCATTTTAGTTTTACTGAATGCATAAGATGAAGTTCCAGCTTCAGTTGTTTTTTTTCCCCGGGAATAAAAGATGACAGGGGTGAATAGGAGTGAGAGTGTAGTGGTACACTCGGCTCACAGCTGTCTTTGTGATGCTGCACGGCACATTTGCATTGAGAGTGGCTCAGCAGTGCCACAGTCCCTGCTGCCAACAAACAGCAGTGAAATGGATCAACTCAAGGCGCCTGGTTCCCTGCTGCACATCATTGTTGGCTCCCAAGGCTGAACATAGACCCCTATGCTTACCTATACACAAAAACAGCTGAAACACACAATATATATGCAAAAAAAAAAAAAAAAAGAAGTCTAGAGCTGACATTTAAAGAGTAAAACAAGTCAAATGAACATTTACAACATATCATCACCTTTACTGTGAAATGTTTTCAGTCAATATTAGTTTATTTGTTGTTACAAATACATAATTATTCAAAATATGACACAGCTATTCTTTAAAAACCACATAATCTTTTTCACATTATAAGCCTCATATAACCGTAATCTTAACCTGTAACTACATGTATCGGTGTAGCAGACTCAAGCCGGATTATAAAATGTTATTCTAGTCCAGGTTTTCCCCAAGATTATTTCCACAACCGTGACGGGATCCCTGAGGTAATAGAGGGCCAAAGCATAACATGTTATACATGAATGTAAATGTCCAGTGTAATAAAATAGTAAATATACCATGAGATTAGTAGATGTAAGCTTATTTTATATTAACCCCATGACATAATTAAGAATGCATTTACACAATTAAATGTTATTTTATAAATAGCCATAAAACTGGAGTCATCTGGGGGCAACCGCATATTGGTTCAACCCAACTCAATGTCCAGTAATTGCAGAGCACATTTTTCTTAGGTATATGAAAGTGTATCTTCCTAAGTACATTCCAAATCAGGAATAAAATCAATGCTCTAACAGTCGTTATCATGCGTTGGCTGTGGTTTTGTTTGATTCGTGACGAATGTGTCATCAATATCGTATCCTTTGTTTTCAGTGCAAGTATGCAGCTAAATTCTGCCAAGAGGTACTGACTCTCCTGTGTATCTTCTAGAAATACATTTATTTAAAAAATAAATATAATTTCTTGACTAAATACTTATATATAATTATAGAATGGAATAAACATTTTTTAAGTGGGTCACAAGTCTGTGGATCTGATAATGTTTGGGGTCACAAACCGAAATGTTTGGGAACCTCTATTGGAAGGTGGTTATGGTTCTGAACCCATTCTATGTGAAATCTTTCTGGACTAGTCCCACTGGAAGGACATCCTGGGGTCAACAGTTGATTTGGATTTCAGAGTTTACTACCCAGACTAAACTAAAGGATTTTCTTCAGATGATACAATAGTGTTGAACAGTTTTTTCTGTAACATACTTTTGGTACGTGCTTTGGCATAAATTACTTTTTTAGGTAGATCTATTATGCATAATTCCCTTTGGTTCTTTGTTGTACTAATACTCCCCGGGGTGTACTGAATTAGTCATGAAAAACTATTTAATAAGCTGTGAGCGTGTGGTCACAATTCACCAGCGCAGCAGATGGGATTGTGCAGCTCCGTGGGGCAATCTATGCCAAGCTATTTCAGTGGTGAACAAAGCAATCTACAGGGAAGAAAGCAAAATACGTGTTGAGTCATATAGAAGCCAAGCAGGAACCTGAACCCATTCCTCACAAACACAGGCCACAGATAAACCCTACAGACTGTTTATCAGATGGAAATGGGCCTTTTGACTGAGAGTAAGACTTCCAGCTGCAGGAGACTGCCTAGAACTGGATATCTAGAAACAGCTGCTATCCTCCAGGATGAAGGATTATCAATCTGCTTCATTCTTCACCCGTCAGGTGAAAAGATGAAAACTCATTTCCATAGCACACAACACCACATATAATGGCACAGGGAAAAAAAAAAACAGAATCAGAATCCAAGTGGCAAAATATGGTAGAATAGGGATACAACCCAGAGAGTCTGAGCTGGTAATGGATCTGCTGGTGACATTGGATCGGCCAACAGAGACTGCACCTTCTTATAAAGGTGAAACCAGCATCACTTCCTCCCAGCATCTATGTTGATTTACTGCATCTCATTGGGGAGCTCCAGCTGCACTGTGGCAGACAGGAGGGGTTCATTTTAAAGGCATTTTGTGTACAGCTCTGGTAAAGGACTGCAGAAATCACAGTGAGCATCTATCTGGGCTGGTAAAGAGCTCTACTGTGTTCATTTCTTTCAAAGAATTTTCAATTTGAGATATTTTTGTTTTCAAAGAATAATTTAGCTGAAATAAAATATTTGAGGGAAAGTGATCCTAGCCACTATATGGAGCCTGGCATGTGTCAGCTGAGGGAAATCTGAGCTCAAGTTTTTTTCCACCTTGCTCTCATTTTGTGCAATGGTTTATACAATAGTTTAATTTGCACTCCTTGCAAATTAATGTTTAATGACATTTTTTAATGTTTAATTACATTAAATTAATTAATTAATGTTTAATGACATTTTTCAAGAGTTCGGACACATGGCTCACACCTGCAAGAAATTTTGTGGATCTGTTGCATTGCAAAATATTTAAATCTAAATACGTGGATTCCTCTTAAAATAAGTGCATTTTTTCTTGAATTGAGGATGTAAGTGAGACAGTTTTCCAATGGAACAAGAGAATTTACATTTTGAATAAGAAAAAAACAATTACATTGTCTTATTTCAAGCTCATATTATCTAATATTAACAGTAAAAATACTCATTCCATCTGCAAATCCTCTTATTTATCCAATTAAATTAGTAGTAAATACAATTGATTTAAGAAATTGTAACTTATTTCTAGATTGTTTTTGCAGAGTGTTATATGTAAAACTAAGGCACTGGCATGTTTTAATCAGCATAATTGTTTTTATAAGAGCTTATTTAAGTTACATTGAGATAAAACATGACAGAAGTTACCAAGTATTTGCATGCACGATTGAACTTAGAGAAACAGCTCAGTAAAGTGTGACCACAGATTTCCATCAACTTTGTTTTTATTCAACTGTTAACACCTTAATCAGTGGAGGAAAATGAAATGAATTTTTGTTTTTTTTTTAAACTGAAAATTGTATTCAACGATTCAATGATTTTAAAAGTCTGTATTTTTATAGTTAATGAAAGTCGGTTTATTTTGATCTTAAAAAGAGACTTAAAACAATGATATTCTAAACTACTTTAGCTATCTCTATAGTTATTCTGCTATAGGTTTGGACTGCAGGAGGACATAGGGACCCCTTTTTCATCATTCTGCTTAATTCTGTCTCTATTCTCCCACTCTGCAGAGTCTGTTAGTTCAATCTCTAACGTTCTGCTCTCTCTGCTTTTTCTCTTAGTAGCTTCCTCTGGTCTGTTCCTGTTTGGCTGTGACTCCATCCTGGAGAGAAATATCAGCTGTGCTGCTGCCATCAACACCTTTGTTTATAGATGTTGGAGATCAGACAATTTTTCAGTGTAGTCCTGTTTCTCTGAATGTGACTGGCTGGATGTGCTCTCTTCAGCCTCTGGCATGGGAGCTGGCTCGGAGCTCGTCTGCCTGGCTGAGTGTTTCCTGGACGGGGCCGCCTTTTACAGCTGCTTTTTGTATCTCTGCTTCTGTCTCCTTGAACCCAGTCGGCCTCAACAGATGGCCGCTCACACTGAGCCTGGTTCTGCTGGGAGTTTTTCCTCTCCTCGGTCGCTACAAGCATGCTTAGTATGAGGGATTGCCTTTGACTCAGTGAGTCGTGGCAATCAAGTGGTTTTCCTAAGATAAAAAATCAATTTGACTGTATGATCCGGCTGAACTGTAAAGTGCCTTGAGATTACATGGGTTGTGAATTGGCGTAATAGAAATAAACTGAATTGAATTGAAATAGCTGCTCTCCAGCAAAAAGAGAGGGTAAGTTGCTGTAATCCCACTAACAACTTTTAAATAAATTAATTTAGAGATTATAATTGGCATCCAAAAAGTAATTCTGCAATTAGCACATTTACATTAGTTTTTTTTTCTTCCATTTAATACTCCTTTTCTACTGTGTTTCAATATCTTAAAAAAAACACAAAAGCTTTTGCCCTCTTCATTAACTCCCTCCATAGGGAGCTACAGAAAAAAGAAATGTCTATGATTCAGCTCTCTTTGTGTCGCTGCAACACAAAAACAGATCTCTGGTTGGTAAATGCAGAAACATGTTCAAACTGAAAAAGCTCAGAAAACAAAGCTGAGGCTCATGCTGTTTTCAGATCTCAGTTCATAAGCAGGAGCAAACAGTGGAACTATGCAGCGTGGTTCTCCACAGCTGCAGGCAGTTTTCATCTGTGTTCCCACAGAGTTCACTTTGTTTCTCTGTCACTTGGTCAGATTGCAGGTTGCTCATCCTGCTCCGCTTCAGCCTGTGCAGGCTGAGGACGCTCTCGTCCGTGTGCACATACTGCAGGAGATAATTTGTTCTAATGCATTTTAAATGCTCCCTCTCTCCGCAGTGGGGACAAGTATTAATTGTCTCTTGCATTGCTCGTATTCCTATTGGTTCTCTGTAATGGAATAACCTTGACAGTGATTGATTTTCTGTTTTCTGCGATCAACGTTAATTGATTAAAAGAATTACACTGTGTATCTTTTGTTTACACACAGAGAGCGGGACTCACCTTGGTTGCAGGTAGCCCCTCCGTAGGCAGACTGTGAGCAGTCGCAGATGTAGCCATTGCTCTTCTCGATGCAGCGGCCTCTGTTGTGACAAAGACTGCTAGAGCCACTGCAGTATCCTGGACAGCCGGAGCTCACTCCAGGGGTCATCTTGGCCCTCTCCTCAAGGTCAAAGGTCAAGCCGTTAACCATGAGAGACCTGATACAACCCAGGAAACCTCTCTGCTGGGATGCTGTTCCCCCTGAGAACATAGTTAAACAACGAGAAAATAACAAGCTGTAGTTACTTTACAATTAACATTGTTTGTAAAGCAATAAACAACCAGTGCAAATCTAGGGGAACAATTAAGGCATTTAGGCATATAAACCCCATCTAGAGTAATAATGCAAAACATTTGCCTTCGCCAGTTTTGGAGGGAGACTTGCACTCTACGTTGCTTCATAACTTCAGATTTTCCCTCCCAGAGATGCAAGACTGATGAGTTTGGATGGAAAATAAATCATACAGCTGTGCAAGTAATTTATCTGAGAGAGGAAAAAAAATTCACAAACCTAAAGGCATAATCTCCTTTCACAATCCCTTAAGGCTGATAAATGAAGCTTGTTAAATGCGGTATTGTTTCAGATGAAGAGAAGCTCTGCCTGTATTTGCTGCATACATTTGTTATGCGTTCCCTCATTTCAAACCAAGCTACTTCAAGTAAAATCTCACCTGCCAGTGTTACTGGCTGTGATGCAGTATGCCAGTGCTGATTTTAGTGCTATTAACCCTTCTACCCGCTGAGGTCCCTGTAGCAGGATTCTTATTACAGCATGACCCACAGTCACCGTTTTCCACAGGATGAATGGATAAAAAGGCTTCTGATTCTACTGGGAGCAAAATGGATGCTTTCTTTTTCTTTCTGCATCAGATCTGTATTTGATGCAACTGCTGGGAAGTTTTGGAACAATTTTGTCTCATCCGTGTCACTGAGTCATACTTACATGTTTGTTTTCATCGTCTTCAAACAAAGAACCAAGCGGACGTTCTTTCACAGACCGAGTTTTTAAAGAATCTATTGACAGTTAAGGAAGTGCTTTCATCAAGCTTATTTTTTTTTATTCTACGTGAGATAAAAATCAGAATCAGCAAGTCAGAGCTCAAAGAAAATTGAACGTTTATATAAGCCAGGAAAAAAAAGAATAATCAGTTCATCTCTCTTAGTGTCTTTTTCTTGATAAAATACTTTAATTTTCCAGCTAAGGTGCTTAGCTGATATCTGCCACCCGGAGCCACTCCAATTTAAAACGTGATATAAGTGAACACTATAATATATTATACCACCATCTTGTACATTAAAAACTGCAGTGACTGGCTTTTTCATTTTACTTATGACAAAAAAGATGTAACGTGTTTCACCTATCAAATGCTTCACACATGTGCAGAACATAGCAGAAACTTATCCTATTTCACATCTCTTGATCAGAACATTACAGATTTATGATGCTGAATTACGTTTTAACCAAAATATATTGTGTCATTTAATGCAACATTTTTTTAATTTAATAATAAAATACATAAATAATAATAATAAAAAAAAACATGACAGTCTTTTTATTTGGAAGATTTTATGGCTTAAATTGCACATTTTTCTATCTAAGCCCTAAAATAAACACTAATTTAAATTTGAAATACAAAACAAAAAGCAAAATAATAAAATAAAACTTTATGTTCAACTTTGAAGAGAGTGAGAGTGCTGTGTTGTGGAGTGACAAACATCATCAGTGTGTTTTGTTCTTTTCTGTGGTTCTACTGTATAAACTTCAAAGTTTCTCTTTTACCATAACCAAAAATGAACGTCAACTAATTAAATAAAAACAACTATAATTGTTTTTAAAAGTTTCGATGAGAATATGTATTTTAAAGCCCTATTTGTTTTAATGTGTTGCTGTTAAAAACATTACTTGACAAGATGACGTGGAACCAATGATGCCTAATTTGTTGCTCCCTGTATGTAAGCTGCTCAGTCAGCTGCCCAACTACATACTGCTGTCGTTTATAGATGTAAGCTGTCCCTCCTGATGTCTCCTGACAGCAGTAAGCATGTTCTCCTCATCACCTCATGTCACAGCTCTATATAAGCCCTCATGGCATTCTGCATTACAGCCACTGTATCAGTCATTTCCCTCACTTGATAGCAGGAAGACGTTTTGCTGTTGTGTTTACCTCTGTATTAGCATGTCTACATGTCCTTCATTTAGAAACATTACGTGGGTGCTCCGTGTCTGAATTTTATGCTGTAGCCAAAAATACACTTTTCATTAGAATAGAAAATCCTTTTCTTGCCCAAAAATTGAGAAATTCTGTTGTTACAACAGCAAAAAGGTTATAGAGAAAATGGTCACACAAATGTGGACCTTGGAATAAAAAAAATAAATAAAAGTGAAGAGTTAAAAAAAAAAAAGAAAAATTGTACTGTTAAGTGTTTAAACAACATAAATCCTGTGCACCTGAGAATAAATAACCAATATACAGCTATGAACAGTTTTACAGTAATGGATAATTGGAGGTTAGGATGTTGTACTAATTGGGGAGATTAGGTCTATAGCACACTTTGTTTTTTAAAGAATACGTTTTAAATAATAAGGGAAAGTAATATTCATTTGTTTGTAAAAAGAATGAGATAATTTTCTAAAGGTTGTTGAGAGTGGGATTGTTGTTGATTTCCCCTCGAGTCTGGTACCTCACTCTGACTAACTGACTGCTCTAAAACAGATTTTCATCAAATTGCAGATGCGAAGATGAGATATCGTCTAATCATAACATAGATATGCTGCCATATTTAACAAATTACATCAGTGAGACGTTAATTTATCTTAGTAAAAAGACTGATGTTTTTATGCCCTGATTTCTGCTATTTATGATCATGTTCAGCTTGCAAAAAATGTAAACATGCATTTATTATTATAACATTGAATCAGATAGAAAAACATATTTTTTCTAGAAAAATCTGGGTATAATGTAAAAATTATTACCTGCTAACTACATCTGAACACTATATAAATATACAGTATATAACAAAACTTCCAAATAGTTCAAATAAAAAAGTCAATTCTGGAAAGTTTTAAAATTATTCATTATCATAATTTTTTACAGCAAACATGAAACTTTGTGCTGGGTCCATCCCAGCTGTCAGGGACACTGGAAGGTGACGAGCTGTGAGGTATATCTGAGTCCAGGCTCTGTCTGTTTAAGGGAAACTCAGGTCATTGATCTGCTCCCTGGGATTCTTTTGGCCTCTTGTAAAACCTGATGAAGTCTGTTGTTTGTTTATCTTGTTTGCAGCCTGTTTTATTTTCCGCATTCTGTATTCTGAACCACGTCTTGGACTGTCTGTGCTGGCAACCTAAGGGAATTCTAGAGCGGTCTCTACTCATGGAAGCAGTCTTTTCTTATTTAACACCATACAGATCCAATTCCTTATTTTTCTAGCAGCGAGGTGTTTTTGAACAAATTATTTCTACATTGTGTTTGCACTATTCTAAATGTTAAACAGCGATAGGCAATTACACTATATTATCATATTAAGTTTATTTTTTCAGAGAAATGTGAAACAGCACCTTTGTGAACCTTAAAAATGAAATTATCTTTGAGCTCCTCAGAGGTGTTTCCCCTCCATCTGTCTTTTCATTTATTTAGTAAATTAATTTGAAGTTAAATGAGCTATTAGGTGCATTATCTGTCTCCTTGAGCTGTGATTCAATTAAAATGGAAAGAAGAATAAGATTTTATGGTGTTCTATAAGAGGGAGTCCTTATTGTGGCACATTTAAATGTCAGAAAGGAGGTAACTGCAGCAGGAATGCGACAAACGAAAGACAGTTGTCACGCACCTTAAACAGTGTAGTTATTGAAAAAACCAACAATAAAACAATTCGATTTTTGAAAAATGGTTTCTCTTTACAGGATGTCAGATTTTTCAGATAGCTGCAGGCAGATACAGCTGCTTGAGAAGATATAAGACAGATAAAGAGTACAGCAAGTTTAACACCTCAAATTTTATTTTCTCTGTTAAAATATTTGAATTATTATATCTCAATTGTTGGAGTCATGAAACAGTACTATTATTTTATATAATTTCATTAAAGGAGGTAGAGGGCAGCTGAATATCACTAGGAGTTTAGAGGCCACATAAAAACACCAGGGATTTCCAGAATCTCATCAGATGTGAAGGAGACCTTTAACTTTCAGCCATTTTTAAGTTTCACAGTTAAAGCAAAGCACCCCTGCTATGATGGGTACAGATTTAGGCCTACTGTACCTTTAAAATCCAAAGTTACATCATCAAACCATCCAGTTGCACCTTTTTGCTTTTAAGCTTTGTTACAATATCAAAAAAGAAGGCGATTCCTACAAATGTGTTTTAACCCTTTAAAACCTGGACCATGAAATAAATTAAAGAAAATTCTATTTTTTTATTTAGAGTTGTCATTGAACTCTCTGAAAAACGAAAGAAAAGAATATATATATATATATTGTATAAGTTAAATTAGATCATTTATTTTAATCAATTTTGATACATTAGGCATTTCTGTAGAGTATTAAAGACGTTTTCTGTTCATTACATGTGTCTGATTGTGTAAGTCAGGGTTTTTAAGATCAGCAACATCAAACTGATGATGCAAAGTCCTTAAAAGCTCATGTATCAATTATGATATAATTGGTTTTAAAGGGTTAATTTGTAAAGAAAATCTGTAAAACTTTAGCCTAATCTAAAGTGGCTTGTTTAAATACCTCAGCTACAGCAGATGTTTATTATAGTTATGAATGACCTCTGAAATGTTGCTAAACGCTTTGCTCTAAACCCAGCTCTACTTCTATGACACAATCCTAAGAGAGGCAAGGGGTCCATCTGACTTTGGCTAAATGTACCTCTTGTTCTTAGTTCCTATCCATTTAACTATGGGGGGTGTCTGGGGAAGGGGGGGGTCAAGAGTAAGAAAACTACCCAGGGTAGAAAAGGAGCTCCAGGCTGCTCTGCTGAATCCCAACAGCCTTCAGCCTTTTGAACTTCATGAAGCGAAGCAAACACATGTGGAGGATGCTGTAGCCTCCGGGAAAATGTAGCCAACAGATGAAATCCCATTATAAAACCCTAAACACATGAAGGTGCGTATATTTGGACGTGTCACACAGACTGCAAGTGAGGAAATTATGTATTTTGGGGAAAATCCATCTGGTAGGTTGTGACTGTGTTGTGTTATGCAAAGAATGGTGACAGTTTTGCAGTATAGCTCATATTGACCAGATAGGAATGTCAGGAGCTCCTTAAGATAAATGAACAATGAGAGCAGAGATCCTACTTCCATAACACTACTTAGACGGCACCCATCAGGCGACCGCTGACTTACTTCCACTTTGGCTGAAGTGCCTTTATTGATTTGCACAATTTAGATGGACCCAAAGTTTGCAGAAGAAACAGAAGAAACCTCTTGAAGTTGCAGCATAAAATACTTATAGAATGAGCTACCCATCTAGAAATCCGGAAAAAAAATGTGTTTGTTTCCTCAACCCGGGGGATTCAGTGTTTTTTTAAATATGAATATTAACCAAAGATAAAATTCTTCATATGTGTTTTACCACAAAAAAGCAACTCAGATTCTTATTTTGCTGTAAAAAAAATCTAATTCACAGAATATGCACAGACCTATAAACGTATAAGACCACTTAGTCAGAAACTACATAAGTCTGATATTTTTTCAGTAGATATTGGAATAGCAGGTGGAGTGTTGTGATAAAGTGAGGCTGACAAATCAATTATTATTGTCTTTAAACTTTTACATTTTAAAGTAAACATTTTCGAATGTTTGTTTTACTTTCTGGATAAAAAATGTCCTAAATAGAGAGAGGCAGACTAGCGTGAGTCATTTAGTTCATTTCCAATTAGCCATTTTAAATTCAGTGGGAGTTCAGCTCTCAGTTGCAATGTTTGCGCTATCTGTAGTGGATTTAACTTACAGATTTGTTGTTGTGATTCCTCTAAAAGCTCCTCTTTCTCAGTTGCAGCAGCTGCTGCTAGTAAAACAAAATCTGTCCATCGTTCATCAGCAGCAACAAACAGCAGATGGACAAAGTCAGTGACTAGCTGCTGTGCATATTACTAGTGCCTGAAGGCAGTTGGACGGCTTCTCTTTTCTGTTGTACTTATCATTAATTATAAAGCAGGATCCACTGATTGAGCAGAATTGCAGGAACTTCACAACAACACCAGGGCAGCATTAGGTTTCCGTTAATGGATAGTTTCCTCAGAGCATCTTCTATATACCAGACTGTGCAGGTGACTCTCATCCTCTAAACCCTCTGATTTAATGGTTTTCTCAAGGTCGGGCCAATAACTGGACTTTTTCTTCCCTCTCACCTCCCCTTTGACCTCCAACATAAAGCTATATATCTATTCACCAGTCTGAGCTATTCTTGGTGTTTAAATATTTTATGAATACTTTGATGCATTGCATTAGGTTAATTGTAACAAAGTTTCCACAGTTCTGGAGTCACAGAGGTTAATAGATGCCAACACTTACTCATTTCCAACTTATCAAATGTTGACATTTAACACACATAGAGCACCCTTGATGTCTGCTGGAGTGTGCTGGATAACCCTTTACATTTTCACTCAGTGTTCCACTTAAGAAAAACAAGGGGTGGGTGGGCAGGGTGGGTTGGGGTGGGGTGTTGGAGGTTCTGAGGAGCTTCCTGCAAAGAAGTGACACTAAATTTACAGTTTTGCTGTAGCTCCTGCTGCTGTGCTGAAGGTTACCTGCACCATCTATCTATCTAGCTCGCCATCATCGCTGAGTGAGTGCTTGCATGAATGGGTGAATGACTGAATGTAGTGGAAAGCACTTTGGTCGAGTCTCCTGACTTGAAAAGATGCTATATAAGTACCGGCCATTTACAATTTACGGAAAATTATAGCATTTTTGTGTCAAACACCAAGTTGGACACCATTTTTTAAGTATATTGAAAAAAGAAAACTTTAACATTTGATGATATAGTTGACATTATGTTTCCTAAATGTGCAGAATAAGTTAAAGAAACATTAGAGAATTAATGTTTGTGGTGTTTTGCAAATACATTTGTTTCATAATCTGTACAGTTTTATTGTTCTACATTTTTTACAATGTGCTGTTAGAAAAAACATTTTAATGTCACAATGTACTTTTTATTTTTCTGCTCTTTTTATTCAGCAGAGATATTTAAAAAATCACAAAGGTCTAGATGTGAGAAAATAAATACCTCAACGTGTTCCTTTTAATGAGCTCCACTTATCATAGGCTGTGTTTACCAAGATCAAGGGTGTGAGATTCACAGTGTTTTGCTGCATACAGTTTTTTATTTTTTATTTTTTTTTTTTTAACTTTGTTGAAAAAAATATATATAATAAAAAATGTTTCATGGTCAGATAGTAGTAAACTATCTCCAACTTTCAGGTTTTTTTGGAGCTAGCAAGCTGAGGTGAGTCAAGTGTTTGTAAAGTATAGCATGAGATTAAATGATTCTGTTATCTGCTTCTGCTTTCTAAGACCAAGTGGAGATAACAGTCTCCCCCCTGATGTTCAACATTTCACACATTAAATAATGCCCCCTACTATCTTATGGACATTTTCTCTCTGAAATAAAACAACAAAAACGTCAAGTTATTTATGTTTCTAATAAATGTGACCTTTTTATCTTCTCTATTTTAACATGTCTAATGCCTAAAAAAGATAGAGTAGAAGCATGATCTAAAAAAAAGATAAAGAGGTAAAAAAAAATAGTGGAAAGTGTTCATCTGAATGAATGAACTATTGTTCTCTATAATTTTCTGGGTGGCGTCACTTTCTTGTGAGTCTCTCAACTTCCAGCTATAATAAATGAAAATAAGAACACTGATGTTGTTTATTTCCAGCAAAAATATCAAAACAAACAATAATTAAAATTTGTTATATCTTAGATGAAACAAAGGCTCACATAATCTTACTTCAAAACATTATCAAAATGTTAAAAAAAGAAAAAAAAAAACCTCATAAAACTGTTTTATACCCTTTGATAGATAATGGGTATTGCATGCTAACAAAGAAGCAAAATGACCCTCAGAAAAAATATGCATGTTTTCTAAGTTGGGCTACTATATAAAGCCTCAAACTCAATGCTATTTCTGACATTTTTAATCGAAAAAGCTTCCTGGATGAGAGCGAAACGTCTTAAAACCTGGAAACAAAGTCCAGTGGAATGTTTTTTTTTACTCTTTTGGAATATTTTACAAAACCTGTCGTTGTCATAACCCAACATTTGACACACAAAAGTGATCTCCAAATTAACCCTTAAACAGGCACTTTGCACCAGGAGATACACACTCTTTAACATCCTGTAGGAGGTATGCTGGGAGGTTTTCACTAATCAAGTTAGTATTTATCAAAAGTCTTGTCTGGTATTAGCATCTAGATCACATAATTTGGTTCAGGCTATCTTTCATGGTTTTGTCAGCCTGATCAGAAAACATCATGGCTAGAGAACCTGCCTCCTTGGGGCTACGTAATCATATATTACTCATACTTAATTTCAATAAAACAACAATATAAATTCCTAAAATGAATTATGACATTTGTCTAAACATTCTGATGAAGAAAAAAATATCCAACTATGTTTGTGGTGTTACTTAGCAGCTATTGAAATGTATGTGTCCCCTGAGATACGTTGCCAGATTGGGGATAGAAATCTGATCAATGTGCATTATACAAAATTTCATTTCAAACTGGAAGGCATGTTAATAATTACTGCAGTACCAGATATTATCATGCACAGCTGTGCCCATTATAACAGTATAACTGTATTTTACTCAAAAAAAAATGTATTTATTTTCAAGCAGGGCATCTCAGCTAGGTCCTTTTATGGGAAAAGAAAGTAAAAGCACAGGAATGAGAGTGATAGAGGAGATTCCTGCAAGTTCTTCTGACTCTGAGTCAAAGAGTGATCAAGATCAGGAAGTAATGTTCAGCCAGCATGAATTGGAGGCATTGAGTGAAAGCAGTTCTGATGAGGAGGATAATGAGATGGATCGCAGTATTGGTAAAAATGAATAAAATCAACTTTAAAAGTGCTATGTGTAATGTAAATGACCAAGGAATACAACAATGTATAATTCATCAAATTGAACAGTAGTATGTTTATCATTGGGGCTCTGTTTATACCTTAATAGGGCAACATATCCTGGGAGATGCAACTCATAAAATCCAAAATATTGAATATATATACATTTTTAATGTGGAAATATTTTACTTAGGGCCTAAAGAGATGAGTGATACTATTTAATTATTTTTTGCAACTTATTTTCCACTCCTGCCTGTTTAAGGGTTAATGTGAGGGTCTAAAAGTTAACAGAGGAATGGAAACTATTTTAAGTAGTTCATATTTAGAGGTTTTGGCTCTGAATCAAAGTAATTAAAGCTAAAGCTAAATAGATGGAAATTACAATTTAAAAGCAAATTGACATAGATGGACAATCCCCCCCCCCCAAATGTAGCTAAAAACAGATTCATGCGAAGCTGTAGTCAGTTTGATGGAAAGCCTACCCACAAACAGCTGGCTGCTGAGCCGGAGGCGGAGGTGTCCGTCAGCCGGAGCCTCCAGGAGACGAAGGGGCAGCTGGTCGACCTGCAGGGACGCTTCCTTCACATTCCGCTCTGCCCTCACGTAGTGCCACTGTCTGTCATTCAGAGGGAGGTGGGACTTCACGGACAGGACGGCCGGACCGTTGCCCACATCAAAGGAAAAAGTCACCACTGCTGGAGCTGAGGGACACACACACGGAGACATAGAGCCAGATCAGACTGAATATGATATGAGGTTTTATATGAGGTTCTTCTCCATCCTGCCTTTCTGATGCAACCTGATACAATGCTGCTGAAAACTTGATGACCTGCATACATTTATGAAGGAGCTCAGCTGACAGCTTGTCAATATTTCATGTGTCTGATGCTGCAGCAATACATAAAGACTCCAAATATCCACACAACTTCCCCCCCAGGTTTGAGAACAAAACGCATGATAATAAGCGTCTGTAGACACCTGAGCATATCGCTGAAGTTGTTCTTGCTTTAACAAATAGAGCGTCTGCTAACTAAAAGCTTAGGTTTGTACCTTTCTTTTGTTAAAGTAAAACCTTTTGAGGAAACGTATAATTTTCAGGAGGATGTTGCAGTAAATCTGAAAGGGGTTTTCCATTTTATTTCCACTTCACCCGTCAGACAAATTCATTAAGCTTCTATATGTGTATGACAGCAAGCTATTGCTGTTGACTGTGCCACTGGGATTACATCATGCTGTGCAAACCTGACAGGCTGCTTCTCCGGGAAATTGAACTGTCAACCACAGTACTCCCAAAGAAGAGCAAAGTATATTGCTGATGGCTTTTGTGGGCATTCTTTATATGTGGACACTCTGGCAAGTCATGATGTACTGCATCACTCTTATTGTGGTATTAACATTCACTCACAGCTCAGCTCCACCCTGATAAAGTCCTTCAGGCCCTGGTTCTCCAGAAATACCCCTGAGGGAGAGCTGGTCTTGAAGTAAAAGGAGATATCTGAGGCTAGCTCTGCCTGCAGGGTGGGGAAGTACAGGTAGGAGGCCTCCTGGTAGAAAGAGGCCGCGTTCCAAATAGATTCTGAAAAAATAAAAAGGAAGAACAGTGAATGAAACAAAAGAGACCCTCCTCCCCCCTCCCCATACCCCCCTCCATGTGTACAACTAGCTGATGTGAAGTTATTTGCTCTTGTCAAAGAGGTTATGGGTTAAAAACAACTTCTCTTTAGATTTGCTCAAACCTCAATGGGACTTTTCTGATTAAATTAAGGTGACTCTGTATGCTTTTTTCTATTTATTTAGCCACTTTTCTGATCATTTAAATTTCATCAATTAAATTTATTTATGTAGCGCCAATTCACAAGGCATGTAATCTCAAGGCACTTTACAGAGACAATTCGATCAGATCAAACAGTCAAATTGATTGAAAGTTTTCTATCTAAGGTTGATTGCATCGACTTATTGACTCGTAGGCAATCCTTCACACCAAGCATGCTTGTAGCGACAGTGGAGAGGAAAAACTCCCTTTTAACAGGAAGAGGTGTCAAGTAACAAAGTATACCTGGTATATTAAATTTGCTTTTTTTAGTATCCGTTCTTTAGTTTTCTGAGTAATTTTGAACTTTTCCTCATTACATTTGAACACAAAAATCCATACTTTTTTTCTCCTTACTTTCTTTAACTAGCTTGTAAATTTTCTACATTTTGATATCAACATGATTCAACAGCCAAACAAAATAAGGAAAATAAAGAAAGGAGTCTGTCAAGTTGCAGCCCAGTTTGTTTATACAATGACACTGATAGTAACACAGATGTGGACAGGCAGCTGGGAAACATTGCAAATGAATGATCATTCCCATCCATTCGCACTTTTTAAAATTTCGAATGTAAATGCTGATTATGTTTCAGATAACTCTTTCATACCAGAGCTCTAAAATATTCGTTGGGAACTTCTGTTCTGCTCAATCTATATTATCAGGTCTTTTTAATTTAGAACGAAACCAAACACAGACGGCCTTGTTTTATGTTCTCTCTATCAACACAAAGAGCAAAAGAGTAACATTAACCTATTTTTTGGTTGGTTTTCACTTATTTTGTATCATTTAAAACAAAAAC